GTAATATTTTTTTAAGAGTAGTTATTCTTGAAATGTGTCTTCTGAGATAAGTTATGGTTTTTGCCACAGCAAAAATTTCCAAATAAACAGTATGGAATGCTGATATTCCATTAAGGAAAACCTATTTTTTTTCTGAAATCCTGCTACAACTGACTTGGAAATCCCCCTTTTCCTCTGGGAGCTTTTCTATTACCAAAGCTTGAACGCGTTCATTAAAGGAGGTCTTCATAAAATGCAAACTAATACATCAAGGTCTGTTTTTTGTAGTACCATCACTTTGATTTTTTTTTTTTCTAAGGTGAAACCAAAAGGAATTTTGCAGCCAGAGGAGCTGGTCATCCAGCTCAATGTTCTGTCTCCAGCAATGGTGAAAAGCAGTGAGTTTTCAAGAGCTAAAAGGACAGGGGAAGTATGTAAAGATACTCAGCCTTCAGTTTGACTTAAGAGCTTTCTGAATTGAGGGGGGTGTGATTTTTCTAAGTCAACTGTGAAGGTTTGAGGAGTCACTGAGAAATATTATTGCTCTTGGGCTATGCTTCAGTAGTTGTATAACATGCTTGATTGAGTCAGTTTAAATTTTGATGTTTCCTTTTCTCAGATACAAGGCAATAAAATTGCCAAAATAAAGCAAAATCTATTGCTTCTATTGTATAATGTCAGTAATTTTCAAACCCACTTGATTTTGGAGTATTTTTAAAGGATAATGTAATTCTTAGAATATCTTCACTTTGAAAATGGATGTAGAAACTACTTCTAGTGCAATTGCAGTGCAGTTCCATTAATGCCGTGTTCTCTTAAGCCATGATCATGTGGATATCCTTGAGTAGCCTTGCATTTTTCACTTGTTCTTCCATCTGAAGTAGGAAAAAGTTAGTACAAAATTATTTGGATATTATGGAGTATTTGGTAAGACATCTGAATCTCAGGAAATATAGTAGGAACTTTCTTAAGGATTTGCAGGCAAATTGACCTGGTTTCTGCTTCTCCTGATCTTGTGTAAAGGAAATATTGCCTTAAGGACAAATGCAGTAAACATTTCTGTTTACTTTGAGGTTGACATTTGATCTTGTATTTATTATATTGATTTACTACAGACAAATAGGGCATCACTTGGCTCAGTGTTAAACACAAGTATTTATATTGGCTTAGCCGAGGGAGCTGGAATCCTGGATTCCAGTAGTTCTGCCCCAGGAAGATTAATTCTAACTGAAGAATAATATGAAACAATTCTACTTCGTCATTATCTGATGTATCTACCACTGTTACTTGGTGAATTATCTGGGGACTAATCATTGCTTAGATCTCTGCTATGATTAAATGTAAAGAAAAAAAAAATCCATGGAGTTAAATTCCTGTTGCATTAGCTGCATCCTTGGTCTGAGAACATGAGATTTTAATCTCTAGCATTATGGGAAGCTTTAATCACATGTTTATTTACTGTTTGTGATCTAGGAAATGGCATTGCTTCATATAGCTAAGCAGTGCAGAATGTAATCTAAGGATTAAGAAAAGGCAAATCTTCCTATCCATTTGACCTTGAAAATCTGATTGGATTTCCTGTGTGATCTGGCATGATTTTTCCCTAATTATCTAAAGCTTGATGTATGTGAATGATATTGCAAGAGCTGTGCAGATATGGTTAAAATTCTAATTCTTAGCAGTATTTCCCGTTTATCTTGGATTTCAAGTTCAAAGAAATAAAAAAAAAGTAAAAGCTGAGATAAACTGTGATCAGTGGACTGGACTTTGTTCATACAAAACTGAAGTCCTTTACAATACCAACGAAGAGGCAGAAAGTCGTAAATAAGATTGATTAACATTAGGCCATAATAGGAAAAAATTACTTAATCTTACTTTGCACTGCTTTGGTAATGGACTGTGGCTATTTGTTGGTGAAGTGATTTGTCTTTAAAACAAATGGAGAAAATTGTGATCCATTTTGCTGAGAGCTTATTTTGCAGCCTCTTAATGGGTTTCAGTAGCTTCTTCAAGCAAAAAGAAAGTTGTTTAAACAGTGCAGGTAAAAGAATAAAGGGATTTTGCACAAAATGTTCAATAAAGTATGTAGATACTTGGCGTAGGAGAACTGATTTTTGAAATAAATAATGTGTTTCTTTTAATAATTACTTTAGGGACTAGAAGTTCAGTATCTACTAGAGCAAGAGAAAGGTCTTTTTATGATTTATTAGTCAAAGTAGTCCCATATTATGAGCGTATTTAGCATTAGTCACGTTGTTGCAACCAAATACCTAAATTCAAAAACCTAATTCAAATAACTTTTCTAAGCTAAAGTATTTAGGAAATACAATTAGCAGTTTATTGATCTCTTAAGAATTTATGCAGCTGGCTCAGCTGAAGAATGTTACTGAGGTAGAGCTCTGTGCTTAACTCTTCAAGTGCATTTTAAGTGCATCTGAGATGTCTGAAACAACTCATTTCCAGGTGTAATATTTTTTGGCAGTTTTTAGGAAGTTCCTCAAACCACTGTTGATTCATAAATTTGTGGTTCTCACTTTCAGGTAGGCAAGGGGATTGCATTGTATGCCATGCTGTGTATTTAGGGATAACAGCATATGACTCAACATGAGAAAACAAATTTTTAGCTTTATCAGTTCATAAAAACTTGGCGGGCTTTGTTGTTGAAGGTACTTTTATTTTATAAGTTTAGATTCTTCAGGAAAATCTTTTACTGTAATTACAGTGACTGAGAACTTGTAAAGGTCTTGTATCAGACTAGGATCAATTGAACTACATGGGGGTCTTGATGAACTGCTCTGTCACAAAAAATACAGCAAAATGCATTAATGGAACTCAATGTTGAGTGGAGTTTCATTGTGCTTTTTGGATTTGGAACAAATTTTAGTCCTAACATTTAAAATCAGTATTAAATGAAGAAATATCAAATTTTGTTGCAACTGCATTTGCCTCATTCATAACAAATGGATGTATTTCTATTACAGTTTTAATAATCAGCATTTTGTGGTATAAAATATTGCTAAAAACCAGCAGATTTCTGGTCAATTTTAAGCTTTGAATGTTTATACTGATAGTGTAATACCAACAGCAGCCTTAAAAATTAATGTTGTGTTTTTACTTGTAAAACATAAAAACCTCTAAGTAACTAATCTTGTTTTTCAAGATAAATTAGAGTTTTGTCACTACTGCCTGCCCTTGTTACATGAGGAAAGAGGGGTGTTAGATGTATATCTGTATTTGAATGCTGTGATAGTTTTATGCTTTTACAACTGACTGTGGTATTTGGAAACTGACTTATGAAAGCTATCAGTCATCTGATTTCTGAGTGGGAGCATCTCTCTATAAAATTTTAGTCTTGATTTCACCTGGAAATGAGTTCCAAATTAAACTGATGCAACTTTACATCTGTTTAATTGCCTGTAATTCCCTAGTCTGTAATTGTGGCATTTCCAAATTTCCATTTTTACCTGGATCTCGACTATTACAAAGTTCTTCAGTTGTTGTTAGCTGGTGGGATAATGGTGCTGGAGGCTTTTTTTTACTGAGCATGATGAAACAAAGGACATGCTTGAGCATGGAGGTTGTTTTGAAAGGGCTCCTCTAGAATTTTTAAATTGCTACAATCCATAGGAATCAAAAAATTCCTAGAGACTTGACAAGAAGTTTTGAAAGTACAGGTGGGGAATTATTTTCCTTCAAGAAACCTTCAGATAGTTTGAGGCTGGTTTGACTTTTTTAGTTTTCAGACACTGAACAGTAACTTAGATCAATTGTCTATTTCCTGTTATGTGTTAGTGAAATTAAAATTTGTATGGAAGTTTCAGTTATTAAAAAATACGTTGGCATCTTAATTTCCATAGTGGTACATGGAAATGAACTGGTATTCATTAAACAAATCTGATAACGGTGCTTGGATTTTATTCCGTAGTTAGAAATTTGTTGGTTTATTCTGGTTTTCATTGGACCTAATTTCAAACCAGATTGCCTTTGAAAGTGTTCTAAAGGCTGGTTTTGCCTATGTTTTTGATTGGTTTCTTTGTGCTCAAGTTTTCATTACAGTCTCCTCTTGGCATAAGACCACATTCCCATTAAAGAAATTATAAGGTCTTGATGAATATCCTTCATTCTAGTGGTTGAGTAGATTAGAAGGGTGTTTCTTGTTGTGGCAAATTAACAAGGTATATGGAAGTGCTTGTGAAGGAAAAGTGCTAGATTCCCAAAGAAGAACTGCTGTGGCACTTCTGAATTGGGTTGGGTTTTGGTGTGTGCTAACAAGTTTAATGCTGCAGCTCCCAGCATGATGGACCCAATCCAGCAAATACCTCAAGAAGTGCTTCAGTTCGTCTCCCTGTATGCTCCTTGTTAATCCTCTCTAATGAAATGAAATCTGCAATTTTTCATTAGCACCCTGGAGAGTCAATATTTTGAGGAAAGTATAATCAAGAGTTAGTTTTGTGTGTATCTCTGAAATGAATAGAGTAATGCAAGCCAGGGTTTGAACTTCTAAATCCCATTCCTAATAATGTCATTGTTGGTAGAACACTAATCTCAGGTTTTTGGGTATGATCTATATGCCTCAGTTACATTCCTGAAATTCTGAAAGATTAACTTGACATTTGCTCATAAGTGCACGGTAGAAAGCCACCATTGAAACTGCATACTTTATTTATAGAAGAGGAATAAAATTGTTGAATATTAAACTGTTATGTATTTTTAATTTAAACATGCTTAAAGGTATCTAGGAATAGTTTTCACTTCTTGAGCCATATAAAAGAATGTATACTAAGTGTTAAATGAATACAGTGTTTGCAATGCTAATTCAGCATGCTGATATAAACATGAATATAAAAACAGGGAAACATGCTTTACTCTATTGGCCTTGTATAACAAATTACATGTATTAATTACACAATATATCATATGTGTGCTATACATTATTAGCTTTGAAACTTATACTTAATTTGAAGATTCTTAACATTTAGGTTGTTGCATTAAACTGAAAAAATAACTTTTTTCTTTAACAGAAATTGAAAAATTCCAAAAAGGGGAAGGAAAGGAAGAAGAAAAGTATATTGATGTAGTCATCAATAAGAATATGAAGTTGGGGCAAAAAGTTCTGATTCCAGTTAAACAATTCCCTAAGGTAAGCCAAACTTTCTTTTGATAAATTTAAGTTCTTATAAAAGATATTTCACTAGTATCTTAACTCTTTCTTTTAATGTAACATTTAAAACTATTACCAGTCACTACTGTTACTGTTCTGCAATCTGTTCTGTAGGCACTCTAAGGTAGAAGTGGTTCTTGTTGGAATAAATGTGCAGGAAAGTGGTGCTGGTCACACAAAATGGTATGTTGAGTGCAAAAATTGAACCATAATTTTGGGATAGCAGGATCTTCTTCAGAATATTGAAAGGAAAAACAAATTTTGAAGTTGAATCTGATGCCAGGCTTTGAAACTTCCTTATTGTAGCTGGAAGTGCAGCTTAAAATGCACCATTAAGGAACTATTTGTGTAAATTTTCTTATCCTCTTAAGTTTCAGCCATTATTATTCTTGAATGAATTGTAGCTTGACGGCTAAATTATGCAGTCTGTTCTGGAGGGGTAGAGACTGTTTCATTAATATTTTTGCCCACCATGAATTCTTAACACTTCTTTACTGCCAAGTATTATCCTGCACTAAAATATTGCTGCCTGGAAGCATTTATGCAACATTCAGTAGGCTCTGGAACTTTATTATTTTGGTGCTGCTTAAAATTTTAAGGTTAATGTTATGACAATCAGATTACCATTTTTTTAATTTGTTTGAAATGGCTTTTTCTTCCTACTAGAAATTTCAAGACTTTCTGTTCATGGAGGAAAAAAAAATCACCATTCCTTCCTCTTGTTTAGGAAAACCTTTTATAATTGGGGTTTTTTTCTGCACAGTATCTCTGTTTTTTGCTCAGGCTTTTGCAGGGTAACTTGTATTGATTTCCTTGCTGCTGTTCAAAGTTTCATGAAATATTCCTTGAGTGAGTGCAGGGCGACACATCATGTGGGCATCTCTTTGGAACTCTGACTTAAGTCATCTTTATGACTAAGTAGAGCTATATATAAGCATAAAGAAACATAAAGATTGGAAGGTAAAATATATGAGCCCCTTACTCCATGGTCAGTGTTTGCAAACAGGATGTTTTTCTTCTAAATGTTGAGATGTAGATAGTTGAGCTCAGGGGCAAGAAAGGCAAACTGCTATTAAAAAAGGAAACTGCCTTCTGAAAGATACTTCTGCTTCTTTATCTAGTGTCAACTTTCTTTATCGGTCTAAACACTGAAATTATTTGGGATAGCTAGTAGGACAGCCCTTGTATATTCTGAATGGCTAGAGATGTTCTGCTGTTCGGTCAGTACTTCTGACTCATGGAGACACTGAACTGGAATAATGCCTGCTGTGTGCTATGGAAAGAAGCCTGAACTGAGGTCCAAGCAGATCCAGGGGTGCAAAATAAAATAGCTGTGCAGAACAGGCATGTCATGTGAGTTCCTCCATTTCCACTAGGACTGCTCCACAGAAAGCAAAATATGGTTATCTCTATTCACATGAATTTCTCTTCTGACAGAGTGAAGAAAATCCTAGATATTTTTACCATTATATTTGGGGGATCAACTTCTCTTAGAAATTTCCCTTTTATTAAGTATAGATTGATATTTGTTAAAGGTTGCTCATTAAAGTTTCTGTAGAGTCAAAATGAACTAAAATTTCTCGTATAGGAGTAGTCTGGGAGGTATCAGCTCAAAATTGTGATAGGTACTCTTGGTATCTCTGAAAAGCACCTGCCCTAAACCACAACCAGTTGCTGCAATTTACTATCACTTGGTATTAGAACCAGGCTTGTGGTTTTGTTTTTGAGATCTAATAAATTAGGATACATTGTATGAAGTGACATAGCTTCAACATGGCAAGCTAAGAACCTTGTCCTGGCATACTGTAGTCTGCAGTAAGTGACATGAGTTTTAAATGCCTGTACATTGGAGAACAAAATGTTTTTGCATCAATAAATTTTTGAAGTGCTAATCCTATTTCTGTTCCATGTGTTCAGAGAAGGGCCGAAAAGTTAGAGATGCTTTCTGGAAATTTGTGGGATGGATATGGGGCTATTCCAATCATCTTGGTTCCCCTGAGCTGTATGTAGAGTGCAAGTGTTGGATATTTACCTGATTATGATAGAAAAGGTGACTTCACTAAGGCAAGTGCCTGACAAAACTGGTGAACTCCTTTGACAGGGTTACAGGGTTGGTAGATAGGGGGAAATGCAAGTGATGTCATCTACATGGATTTGTGCAAAGCACTGACACTGTCCCGTGTGTCACTCTGATCTCTAAACTGCAGAGATGTGGACTTGATGGATGGACCACTTGGACTTCTTACCAAGGGCATGGAGTGATTGGACAAGTGGGAATGGCTTTAAATTGAAAGAAGAGAGATTTAGATTAGATAATAGGATGAAATTCTTCACTAAAAGAGCAGTGAGACATCTGGTGTAGCTGCCCAGAGGAGCTGTGGATGCACTCCATCCCTGGAAATGTTCAAGGCCAGGCTGGATGGGGCTTTGAGCCACCTGATTGACTGGAAGGTGTCCCTGCCTATGGAAAGGACAGGATGATCATGACCATGGATGATCTTTAAGATACTTTCCATGCAGTACTTTTCTGTTATTCTCTTCTGCAGAACTTACCAGAAAATATTGTGGTCCTCATAAAAACCTGAAACAGTGTTGCACATAAATGCTCTGTGCCTCTGCACTGCTGTTCTCTGTGTTGGTGTGCAGTTTCCTAGACCATTTTACCTGTGGTAGGTGTTGTTATTGCTGCAAATGTGTTGTTGGTTGAAAATAATAAGGGAGAATTCCTTGGAAAACTGCTTAAAATATTTTTCTCATTTTCGAGGTTTCTTTCTTCTGATCAGTGTTAGTGACAAATGTTTCAGATTAATGAAATTCCAGACATATATGGATGAAATCTGTGCAAAAGAATCTTCTGCATGACAATACTGAATTCAGAGTTCTCCTATCATTCTGGCACATTTGCCTGCAGTCCACACTAATGTTGTTACCTATTGCACAAGATCCTGAACAGACATCTTCATATTTTCAGGAGATAGCATATTTATGGGGTTAGTGACCTGAGAATCTGCTGTTTGGAGCTGACAAAATTGTTATTATACTTGATAAATATCTCAAACAATCATTGGATTACTAGTTTGGGTTTAGTCTAATTAATTTTGGTAACCAGGAAGTAGTGAGAAAAACCAAGTTTGCATCAACTTCATTTACAGAATAGTCCCCTAAATAAACAGTTCTGCTTTTAAACTAAATCTAAAAATGCTGAAGTTACTAAAATTGTTAAATCCTTAACAGGGATAATAGATGAAAATGAAGCTAACCACAAATAAAAGTGATTTTTCCCAGCAGAAAGTATTATTTTGTTTGTCTGCCAGGGATGACTGTGGGAAAGAAAGGTGCCTCTGCTGTTTGTGTATTGATATGTTATTAATCCTATCCTAATTTTTTATTATAAAAGAAGTCTGTGAACAAAACAACCCATCAGTACCCTGTCCCCAAGCAAGACAGCTTGCTAGAACTGAGATATATATTACATAGCCTTTTCCTTCTTTAAAACTTTTCTGTAACTCTGACTCCTTGAATAAATCATAATAGCCTCAACACAGGTCAGGCAGTCCAAGCTCTATCAGATCAGCCTGGCATGGTAATGCTTGCTCACATTTCCTGTCCTGTCAGATACATTCTCATGAGCCCATGGCTGGATCCTGTGCAATTACCTCTGACAGCCCTGGAAGGTGACAGGTTAAGTGCAGCAGAAACTCTTCAACTAAAGTGCAGAGCAGCTGGGTTTCTGTTGGAAAAGAATCTGGTAGACTGGATTTAAAAGTATCTACTGCACTTTTTTAAGCATCTTTGTTTACTTTGAAAAAACACTGAATTTCTGGTCCTTCCCTTAGTGCAGAAACAGCTGAGTGTTCCTGGTGATGTGCTTAACTGGCCTCCTACCTGAGAGTTCTTTCTGTGATACTCTGTAGTTACATCCTTTAACTGGGAGCTTTTGTCTTGTTCAACCCTTGATAGTGTTAGTTAATATGCTTAATCTCATGCTACAGATAGTTGGTCTAAATGTGTTTTGTTGTTTTTTTTTCATATCTGGACCCTGATAGAAGGTGACAGAATAAACAAGACAACCTGAATTTTGTCTGTGCTATGAAATAACTCAAGATGGTTAGTCCCAGGAGTTATGCTCAGTTTCTCCTTGAGGCTGGTTGTGCATTTGAATAAATTTCTTTGTTATTTACAGACTTATGTAAAAAAAGTTCCTGATTTAATATGTCTTGATATGGTGACAGATAGTCTTACCTGGTAAGACAGAACCTTGTGGAAACTCCTTTATAGACTCCTTTATAGACTTCAGACCCAGTCACATCTTTTGAAGATATGATTGTGTAGAGTCTTGGAGGTTTTAGCTTTGGTCCAGCTCTGCGGATGCCTCCGAGAGTCCTGAAGTGCTGTGATACAGAAATTAATCTGAGGTATTTAGGTGAAGCTTGAATAAGCTTTGGTAATGCTGTCTGCAATCCTGTTGTAACTGGGACATCTACTACAAGTAAGGATTAGAGAGGTTGGGCTTTTATGCAGTCTTACAGGAAAAGGGCCAAGTTTTTAAGGTAGAACTGATTTCTAAATCAAGTTACCTATAGATAGAAGTCCATGTGGATGCTGGATGTCTAAGCTGCAGGTAGTGGAATGAGGTCTTGTCAGCTTAGGACATTGAGGTTAGAGTGACTTGCTGTTTGATCAGCTGAATACCTCAACTGACTCTGGGTCATGTGTGGAAATGTGACCCTTAAACCTGTGTTTCTATTGTGTTTCATGCTTGAAAATCATCATGGAACTTGCACCAGACTTAAAGGCATAATAGGTGAGCTGGCCTCAGGAAGGTCCTGATGAGGTTGTGTTGGTGGAGGGACTCTGTGGATCTGTCCCAGCTCTGCTATGAAGAGCCATCCATCACGCGTGAAAGGTGTTTTAGAGTTTTGTTGTGTACTTCTGAGGCAGGGAGGTGTTATCCCCCTCCCATACATTCAATGAACATG